GCTAGGATATGTGTGGGAGGTCTGTGTCATGGCAAGATCCTGTTAAGGGTATCTGTCAAGTTTAATTGTCTCTTTCCAGAAATAACTTTTTAAAAAAATGTTTAAATAATCACGCCTAGTTAATCAGTGTAAACCCCAGCTACTGCAGACAAACCTCCACCAAAGTACCCATCTCTTTCTTATCCACCCCCACCACATAAAGGTGCTCAATAAATAGCTCAGTTGGTTCTCAGGATAATCCAGGCTTCAGCCAAGTATTCAGGCTATTTTTAGCCTTGCCCCCAGGTTATCCACCTTTTTCTCTCCCTTACTACCTCCCTGCACAAGCCTTCTGCTCTGGTTCAAGCCTTGTTTGGACAACATTGTCCACTAAGCTGATTTTCATACACTGTGGCCTTAAATTATATTTTACACCTTTACTCAACTTTCTCAGTTTGCCCTCTCTCTCTAACTAGACTCTTGACACCTAAAGAGCATGGTGAGGAGCAAGTAGATGGCATAGCAGTTATGGTGCTGGACTCCCACATAGCCAGCAGTGGTTCGAGTCGCGGACCTGGTGGCTACACAGATATATGTGATTAAATGTAATAAAAAATAATAAAATGTTTTAAAAATACGAAAGAAACTGGGAACCAGCAGTTAGTATAATGGCTATGGCGCTGGATTCCCACGTAGTCTACTGCGGTTCGCGTCCCGGACCTGGTGGCTTAGAACTCACGCCGGGCGCCTTTGTGTGCGTGCCCAAGATCCCGAAAGGAGAATGGAGGAGAAGGGATTGCGGCGTGACCATCCCCCCGGAGGGTGATTTCTTGCTTCCTGTCTCTATGTCTCTTTCTGTCTGTCTGGCGAGCGCACGAGAACAACTACACATGAAAAAAAACCACACAATAAAAAAAAAAAAAAAAAAAAAAAAACCGAAAGAAACGCACACAGGGCACTTGTGCTTACATGCCCAAGATCCTGGCAGGAAAATGGAGGGGGGATTGTGGTGTGGTCATCTCCCCTGGGGGGTGATTTCTCACTTTCCCTTTCACTGTCTATCTATCTCTGGCGAGTGCATGTTCCCCAAGGCAAAAATCTCTTTTAAAAAAAAATTAAAAAATAAAACAGGGTGAGCCCATGTTATGACTTCCTCATACACCCTCCCTACCTCAGCATCTAGTGCTAGTTCACTGTCCCTGAAAACCAAGTAAGTAAATAATTTGATTTGACCCTCACCTGTCATTCTCAGGAATTTCTTCCACACTTCCAAAGCCAGGTGTGGGCACTGGGCAATCCATGTGTGAGGGTTGGGCGATATGAGGCTCAGGGACAGGGATGTCCCCAGGAGAGGCTGTGTGGGCTTTCTCGGCATCAAGCCGAGCCAGTTCATGGCCACACACGAA